GACATTACACAAACCATTATCATCGGAAGAAAATGAAGAGANACAAATTTTTTACAACTACAGAGTACTTTGGATTCATTTTTTGTGACGTTGAAGAGAAAAAAAGTCTGTTGAAGCATCTACAACTAATTCTACTGTCACTACTGAAGTTGGTGGAACAACTAAACTTCCACTTCCAACCACATCAGCAGAAGCTTCAACAAGTAATAGTATTTCTACTGAACATGTTGAACATGAGATAACAGAAACCAGTAATAATATAGACAGCAACAGCCGGAATATGAATGTCAATTCAGTAGTCATAGCTCATGATAGTCTTTTTCTGAAAATGAACAGATTTCAACTGAGACTGGAACAGCTGAAATTGCTAAGGCATTTTCTAGTAAGATTTTAAATGCTGGGTTTATCAATGATATTGGAAAATTTGTTGGAACATTTATGGATGATTTGACAAAAAAAAGTCTGTTAGAATCGCCATGGAAGCCACTAGCTGACTACAAAATGCCACATTCACTTCACAAGAAGAAAAATAAACAAGAAAAGCGATATCTTAATCATTCTCATCTGGAAAAATATGAATGGCTAGTTTATTCAGATAATAAAAAAGGATTGTACTGCAAATATTGCTCATTATTTTCATACCACCTGACTGCAGGATCTCACAAACAAATGGAACTTCAGAAGCTTGTTAAACAACCATTACAAGTGTTTGCTAAACTGTTTGGCAAAGATGGAGATTTAACAATGCATGACAAAGCAAGATACCACAAGGAAGCTGTTGAAGCAGGGAGGTGTTTTTTAAAAAACTATAATGAACCAGCAATAAATATTGTAAACAGAGTAAATGCTTAACGGCTTCAGCAGGTTTTAGAGAATCGTCAGAGATTGATACCTATTGTGGAAACAATTATATTTTTAGGAAGGCAGAATATTCCATTCAGAGGACACAGAGATGATGGCAGTATATTAGACAAAGATGATGAAGATTCTGATGTGATTAAAAATGAAGGTAATTTCCGAGAATTGCTAAAATTTAGAGTAAGCAGTGGAGATTCAAATTTAGAAAATCATTTAAAAACGGCTAGAGCATCAGCAACCTATATTAGCAAAACCACACAAAATGCGTTAATTAAATGCTGTGGGGAAGAAATATGTGAACAAATTT